TCCTCTTCCGCGATTTTTGGACAAGGATGTCCCACCCTATTCTCTCCATTGATCAGCAATGTGGCTGGTTGTTTTAACTGACAATTTACAGAACAAATAGTGGCATGTTTACAAAAACTTGAGACAGGTGATGTACAGAATAAGCATCATAATGCAATGTCCGGTTTGAAAAGATAATAGGGGAGATAAATCAGCACTTAAATGAAGAAAGTGTATACATTCCAAAAGGAGAGTATAACAAGAATATTCTATGTCAGTCTTTCTGTTTCTAGGATACCTCACTCAGAATGATATTTTCTAGATCCCACCATTTGCCTGTACATTTCATGATTTCCTTGCTTTTAATTGCTGAGTAATATTCCATTTTGTCAACGTACCACAATTTCTGTGTCCTTTCCTCAGTTGAGGGGCATTTGAGTTGTTTCCAGATTCTAGCTATTACAAATAAAGTTGTTACAAACATGGTTGAGCAAATGTCCTTGTTGTGTACTTCAGCATCTTTTGGATATATGCCTAGGAGTGGTATAGCTGAATCTTGATGCAGCATGATTCTTAACTGTCTGAGAAAGCACCAGATTGATTTTGAAAGTGGTTGTACAAGTTTACATTCCCACCAGCAGTGGAGAAGTGTTCTCCTTTCTCCACATCCTCTATAGCATTTCTTTTCTTTTCTTTTTTTTTGTCCTTGCTGTTATTTTTTTATTAATTACACTTTATTCATTTTGTATCCCCCCCATAAGCCCCTTCCTCCTCCCCTCCCGATCCTACCCTCCCTCCCCTTTCTGCATGCATGCCACTCCCCAAGTCCACTGATAGGGGAGGTCTTCCTCTTCTTTCTGATCTTAGTTTACCAGTTCTCATCAAAAGTGGCTGCATTGTCCTCTACTGTGGACTGGTAAGGCTGCTCCCCCCTCAGGGGGAAGTGATCAACGAGCAGGCCAATCAGATTATGTCAGAGGCAGTCCCTCTTCCCATTACTATGTAAGCCACTTGGACACTGAACTGCCATGGGCTACACCTGTGCAGGGGTTCCAGGTCATCTCCACGAATAGCATGTGTTTTCAATTGAGTATTTTATCTTAGCAATTCTAATGGGTGTAAGGTGAAATTTCAGGGTCGTTTTGATATGCATTTCGTTGATGACTAAGGACATTGAGCATTTATTTAAGTATTTCTCTGCCATTCTATATTCCTCTATAAAGAATTCTCTGTTTATCTCTGTACCCCAATTTTTAATTGGATTACTTGGTTTGTTGCTGTTTAACAACAACAAATCTTGAGTTCTTTATATATTCTGGATATTAGTCCTCTTTCAGATATAGCGTTGTGGAAGATCCTTTCCCAATCTATAGGCTGTCGTTTTGTTCTGAAGATAGTGTCCTTTGCTTTACAGAAACTTTTCAGTTTCATGAGGTCAACTATTTTCTTTTTGATTTTTTTTATTATATTTATTTATTTGTAAGAGAGGAGCATATGTGCTTTGGCACACATGTAAGGTCAGACAGCAACTTGTGGCAGTCAGTTCCCTCATTCCACCATGTAGATCCCAGGGATTGAGCTGATATCATCAGGTGCTTTTACCATTAGGCCATTTTGCTTTCACTCTCCAGAAACTGGCTATGTGTACATCCTCAGGCTGGTCAGGACCTTAAACTCCCGGCTGGAGTGCTGACAGTGAAATCATGCACAGGCCTCGGGAAGTAATCACAGCTGCAGTGAATTCAAAAGTACAGAAGTCAGCGTTTGGCTGCTCTCCTATCTACTTCCTTGCTTTCATGTTCTTTCTGCCCTGTCTTCCAAACATTATCTGAGCCTTGGAGAAGCTGTTATAGGTGCTTCATTAATTTCTTTCTTTATTTTTTAATTAATTAATTCATTTCTTCTTTTTACATCCCAAGTACAGCCTCTCCCTTCCCACCTTCAGGTCCCACTCTCCTTTCCCAACATTTCCCTCCCATACTCATCAGTAAGGAGTGCCCCCTACCAATCCACTCCAGCACATCAAATTTCATAAGGACTGAGTGCATCCTCTTCCCCTGTTGAGGCAGCCCCACCAAACATAAGCAATCAAAAAGCAGGCAACACAGTCCATGTCAAAGACAGCCTTTGCTCCCCTTATTAGGAAACCCATATGAGGCCTTGGTTACATTTGTATAGGGTGCCTAGGTCCAGTCCATGAATGGTCCTTAGTGCTTCAGTCTCTGCAGGACTCTCTGGGCCCTGGTTGGTTGTTTCTGTTGGTCATCTTGTGGAGATCCTGTCCCCTCCAGATACTTCTATCCCTCCCCCCCAACACACACACTTTTCCACAAGACACCCTATGCTTTACCCAGTGTTTGGATCTGAGTCTCAACATCTGTTTTGATTTGCTGCTGGCTGGAGGCTCTGAGTACAGCTATGCTAGGCTCCTGTCTGCCAGCACAGCAGAGTATCATTAATAGTATCATTGTGGCAGGAATTTGTTCTCTCTCTGTTGTGGGTCTCAGGTTGGGGCAGGCATTGGTTGTCGATTCCCTCAATCTCTGCTTTATCTTTATCCTTGTGCATCTTGTAGGTAGAGTAAATTTTGAGTTGACATTTTTGTGTGTTGTTTGGTGTTCCCTCCCTCTACAAGGAGTCCTATTTAGTTAGAGGGTGTCCTCTTCAGTCTCCATGACCGTTGCTACTAGTCATCTCAGCTAGAGTCACCCCATATTCTTCCAGAGGCCTACCTTATCATAGGTCTCCAGCTTGTCAGAGATGCCCCACTCACAGTTTCTCTTCCCTCTGTTCTTTTGCCTCCACTCTCCCAAAGTCTGATTTCCATCCTCATTTCTCTCCATGCTCCCTTTCCTACCTTGAACCCTTTCTTCAACCACTTCTGCTATCTATTATATTTCCCCTTCTGAGTATGGGGAAATATAATAGATATTTCCCCATATCTATATCCACAACATTGTGGATATGGGGATATATCCCCATATCCACAACAAAGAGGACCCTCCCTTGGGTCCTCTTTGTTGTTATCTCCTTTGGGTCTGTCAATTTTGGTATGGCGTTCTTGTATTTATGGCTAATATCCGTACATACCACGAGTATCTTTCTGCTTCTCAGTTACTTCACTCAGGATGACCTTTTCAAGTTTGCCTTCAAATTTCAAAATGTCCTTGTTTTCAATAGCTCAGCAGTATTCGATCGTGTATATATAACGGTTTCTTCATCCATTCTTCAGTTGAGAGATATCTGGGTTTTTCCAGATTCTGGCTATTATGAATAAAGCTGCTATGAACATGGTTGAGCAAATGTCCTTGTTGTATACTTGAGCATCTTTTGGATATGTGCCCAGGAGTGGTACAGCTAGGTGTTGAGGTACAACTATTCCTGAACTTTTTTTTTTAACTTTTTTTAATTTTTTATTAATTACACTTTATTCATTTTGTATCCCCCCATAAGCCCCTCCCTCCTCCCCTCCCGATCCCACTCACCCTCCCCTTTCTGCGTGCATGCCCCTCCCCAAGTCCACTGATAAGGGAGGTTCTCCTTTCCTTTCTGATCTTAATCTATCAGTTCTCATCAAAAGTGGCTGCATTGTCCTCTTCTGTGGCCTGGTAAGGCTGCTCCCCCCTCAGGGGGAGGTGATCAAAGAGCAGGCCAATAAGATTATGTCAGAGGCAGTCCCTCTTCCCATTACTATGTAACCCACTTGGACACTGAACTTTTAAGAAACCTACAGATTGCTTTCCAAAGCTGTACATGTTTACATTCCCATCAGAAATGGAGGAGGGTTCTCCTTGTTCCACATTCTTTTTTTTTTACATAACATTTATATATATATATTTTTTTTTTTTTTATTTTTTTTAGAAAAACCAACATACTTACTAAGGCTTTTCAATTAGACATCACTTTCAAACATAGCTGATTTCTTTTATCAATGAACTTTACTTTCATTGTTTAAGAATAATGGTGTGACTATATTCTAGCCATAACATATTGTAATCCAGAGTGTGTCTCTATTCCACTGGGTCACAAGGACCTAGACGGTCTTTGGATGCGATCCCTTGCCAAAGCAGCCATGTTCCTGGTTGAAAAATTTTCTTCATCTTCTCCATATCTATTTAAGCTAAAAAATACACACAGTTTAATGATTACAGCAGAAACAATTATCAAGCTCATAAATTTAACAGTCCATATGACAAACTTTTACTGCAATGACCCCTCTTAATTGCAGTCCTCATCATCTGTCCTTCAGAAAATGTCCATTTCAGCATCAAGGTTTTCCAGTCTACCAGTCTGCTGAATAATATGTCTCCCCCCCCCACCCCCCATTGGCCAGTTGGTTGAGCTGTCCCCATGCAGGGGGATCAGTTTCCTGTCTTTTCAGCATTGATGTCTCTCTGCATCTCTTCCTATTTTGTGTTGTGTCTTTCATGTGCAAGCTTCTTTTATTCAAATTGTAACTTTATAAATTTTGATGGAACCCATAGTCTTTCATCACCTGTGGAAATAAAAGAAAAACCTCTTCTCCAACATAACTCATTACCTGACTGCCTTTCTAATGCTAAAACAACTTTAAAGTATACAAGTTGATCTAATTCAGTAGTTTTTTATTACTACTAATATTGTTGTTGTAGTTATTTATTCACACTGTATCTCTGTTGTAATACCCTCCCCTCTCCTCACAGTACCATCCTCCCTCCCATTCCATCTCCTGTTCCTCTTTCCTAGTCCAAAAATAGCAGAAATTCTCCTCTCCTACTGCTTGACCCTAGCCTAACAGTTAACATCAGGACTGCCTGGATCCTGTTCCTCTGTGGGCTGGCTAGTTGTCCACTGCCTAAAACTAAAGTTCAAGTGGATCAAAGATCTCAACATAAAAGCAGATACACTAAATATGTTAAAAGAAAAAGTGGGGAAGAACTTTGAACTCCTTTGACAGTTGTATGATCACAGTGAGGGTCATGCTACATTATAATCAAAGTCTGGGTGTGGCTCTCACTTTAGAGCCTGGCTTGGAATAATCAGCTGTTTTCCTCACACAGGTTGTTTGATGGTCAAATCCCTAAATTTGCCATCACAGACACAGAGATGATCCGAAATGTACTAGTGAAAGAATGCTATTCTACGTTCACAAACCGGCGGGTAGGTAACCTTTTTTTAATTAAAAATTTTAAATGTTCATTTTTGTTATTTTATTTAGGAGTATACATTAGTGCTATTTTTATAAAACTGTGTTTCTCTTAGTTTCTCTCTTAATATAGATTTCCCACAAATAATTGAGACTTTTATATCTCTTTAATAATAAGCTTCATGATACAATAGCTAAGCAGTTATTAATCTATTCCTAACCCTCTAAGCTAATTTGGCTTCCTCCCAGCATACATCCCAGAGGTACTTGCACTTTGTTGTTTTCCTGTTCCAGCTCCTTCACCTCATGTCTCTTCAACCTTTCCTGTGGCTTCATCCCCTACTTCCTTCTCTAAATTCTCCTCCCCTGTCTGATAGGATTCTCACCCTATTCTCTCCCATGCTCAGCTATTGGTTGTAAACTGCTTTCTTGACATATCAGGGTAAATTGGGGAGCAGTGTTTACACAACATTGAGACAGGAGATTCTCAAAACACGGATGGCAACAGGATGTGGGAGGCACAGAAATCAGCATTTCACTTACACAATAACATTATTCCTACACTTATATATATGTGTGCAAGTGAGTGACTGCCATGTGTAGGTTCCTGTGGAGGCCAGCAGAGGGTATGAGATCCCCTGGAGCTGGCCTTGCAGACAGTTGTGAGTTGCCTGACAGGGGTGCTGGGTACGGAATCAGTGTCCTCCAAAAGAGAAGGAAGCACTCTTAACTGTTGTGTCATCTCCCCAGCCTCCCATTTTAATAATGTAAACCTTTATACTTTACTTACTCAATTAAAAATGAAATAAATATAGATTCACAGTGGCTTCTATAATAATGTACAAGCAGAGTGTAAGTATTAATTTTGCTAATAGGAATGGCTTGAGCAAGTCTAAATATACTATAGAATTGTAATCTAGATGTCAATAGACACTTGCCGCCTAGAGTAATTCACATTTCCCATTTCACAAGTCCATTTTTATGTCTCTGTGGTGTTGATTTGTGTGGCGTCAAATACTCAGAATACAGAGTAGCTCCTTGACCAGTCAGCTCCCTCTTGCTAGCACATTAGCTGCCATGTACAGCCTGTCTTCCCTTCACCTTTTGTATCCATTTTCATTCTCATGGATTGTGCTCTCAGGTATCAAGTATCACAACTGTTTACCTATCACGTCTATGTGGATTTACTCTTGAAATTTGATCTCAAATCTATGGCTTTATTTATCTCAATTTTTCTATGCGGGATACTACTTACTTTAATGTCCCGACTTCTGTTTTTTTAAATTTAATTTTATTGATATATTTATTTACTATGTATCCCTGCTGCAACCCCCTGCCTGTCTCCTCCCAGTCCCACCCTTCCTCCCTCTTCTCCACTGGTGCTCTTTCCCTAGTTCTTTAAAAGGGGGAAGATCTCCAGTCCTTCCCTCTGACCTTAGCCTATCAGTTCTCATAAGGAATGGCTGCATCATCTTCCTCTGTGGCCTGGCAAGGCTGCAGCCCCTAGGTAGAGGAGAGAGCCAGCTACTGAGTTCATGTCAGAGACAACCCCTGTCCCCATTACTAGGAAAGCCACTTAGAAACTGAGCAAGCAATGGGCTTCCTTTGAACAGGAGGTCCAGGTCCTTTCATGCATGGCCTCTCTCTTAAACCATAGCTATCTAACTGTTCTATGTAAGGAAGCCTGTTTGCTCTCTCCTTACACCCTGTGGGTCCTGGGTTTCAAACTCAGGTTGTTGAGCATGGCAGCATCACCTTTACCTACTGAGGCACTTCACTGGTCCTCATTTAGCCACTGGTCATTTGGTGAAGTTCACTGAAGGCCTTGTTTGCAGATGCCCTTCATCAAGTCAAACTGTTTAACTTTTTTCCTGTTGCGCTGAGTTCTGTAATATAAGGGTGTGTTGGATGCCTCCACATTAATATAAAATATAAATGTGGAAGATAGAAAAAAGGTCTTATTAAGGGAAAAGGATTCTCTTCCTCCTTTTATCACTGTATAAAGAATTAAGGTAGATCCAAGATGCAGGGCTGGGAGGACACTCTTTCTGACCAGCAGCACAGCACAGTATGCACAGTGACCAGCAGATGGAACTCTGGACCCTAAAACACCAGGGATTGTGTTTCCTAGGTGGAAGGAAACCCCATGGAATGGGAATCAATTAGCTTCAGGTCACTCATCTAAACCACGGAAAAGTTCTCATGTCACACCAGGTGCTCAATCACCATCCCAGAGCCACATATCTGTGTGCTCTGATCACCATCCCAGAATGAACTCTGAGCCCCACAACACCAGAGACTGGGATTTCCAGTTGAGAGAAAACCCCATGGAAATCCCAGGGGTCCAGCAGGTGCAGAGCTGTCAACCCAGAGTGGGGTGAACAGCTGACAGCATAGAGTCCAGCCTGCATGCCCGATTCAACATCCCAGACAGAACTGAGAACCTCAGGACACCAGAGACTAAGTTTCTCTGTTGAGTGGAAAACCCCACAGTAAGGGGAAGAGCAATTCTGACATCAGAGCACTCAGCTGACAACCCTTCCCCCAAAAAACTTTCCTGGCACCCAGGCACCCAGTAGCCAGCAAGATGGAGCCACATGCCTGCTCCTGTGTGTTCTACGTGCCATCCCAGAGAGAACTGCAGACCCCCAAACACCACAGACTACGTGTCCCTGTAAGGAGAAAACCCCACAGAGGGGGAAACTTTGGGTTCAACCTCAGGACACCTAGCTCCAGAAAAGTTTCTGGGTTCCCACTGCATCTAAGCTCTGGCTTCCTACTGTATGCATGAGTGCCGTGCCCACCTGCCATTGATTATGGCTTGGGTACTGGAGCACACAGCTCCAACCTCAAACCTACAGAAGCCTGAGAGCCACTGGAGCAGCCCTAAGATACTGCTCGAAGGTGTAGTATCTCACCTTTAGCTAGCAGTATCCTTAGCTAAACTGAAGAAACCATAGGGCTCCCCAGTTCTTCAAGAAGGCTGTGCCCAGCAAACATAGGGTAAGAGCAGAAGCAGCAGCTCACTAAATTCAGAGCAACAAACCAAGCAGCAGGGCAGTCATCTTCAGGCCTTCTCCTGATGAGAAGACAACCTTCCTGAACATCATAGATACCGCATAGGTCCATATGCCTGAGGTGAATTGTGACAATTCCTGAGAAGCACAGCCATTCAGTTGACCATACCCAAAAAGCTGAGGAGGCCTCCTTTACAAACCTGCCAGGGGGATTCTCCCCACCCCAGGATTCCTGCAGGCACCAGAAATTAACAGCCAACACCGGAGACACCAAAAGGATAGAGGCCAGAGTAAAAGCAAAACCAACAAAAGGCAAAGCAATATGGCATCTCCAGAAGCCATTTATCCTGGCAATTAGCCCTGGACACCCTAACATAAGTGAAAATCAAGAAGATGACCTTACATGCTTATGAAGAGGATAATGGAAGAAACAAATAAAATGCAAAAAGAATTAGATGAAAAAAAAGTCAAACAGATTATAGCCATCTGTAAAGAAATATAGGAAGATGCAGCCAGTTTGTGGCCGTCAAAGAGGAAATAATTAAGTACTGAAAGAAATAAAAGAAACAGAAGAATGTTCAAACAAACATGTGAAGGGGAAACAGGAAAATTAAGTCAAAGAGATGAAGAAAATCAACAAAACAGTGCAAAATCTGAAGATAGAATTGGAAAAATAAAAAAAAAAGCACAAACAGAGGAAATCACAGAGAGCAAGAATTTAGGAAAGAAAACATGACCTACAGAGGTAAGCATAACCAACAGACTACCAGAGATGGAAAAAAGAATCTCAGGTGTGGAAGATACAGTGGAAGAAATGGATGTAACTGTCAAAGGAAATAATGAATCTAAAAAATTCCTGATACAATTCATCCAAAAAATCCAACATAATATGAAAAGACAAAACCTAAGAATAATAGGAATAGAGGAAAAAGAAGATTCCCATTTCCAAGGCCCAGAAAGTGTTTTCAACAAAATCATAGAAGAAAATTTCCCCAACTTAAAGGAGAGGCCTATAAGAATACAAGAGGCCTACAGAATACCTAATAAATTAGGTGAGAAGAAAATAGGCTTCATCTCAGGTATAAAGGCGTGGTTCAATATATGGAAATCCGTCAATGTAACCCATCATATAAACAAACTGAAAGAAACACACACACACACACACACACACACACACACACACACACACACACACACTATAAGCTCCTTAGTTGCTGAAAAAGCATTTGAGAAAATCCAACACCCATTCAGAATTAAATTATTGAAGAGATCAGGGATACAAGGCACATACCTAAACACAGTAAAGGCAATATACAGCAAGCCTACAGCACACATCAAACTAAAAGAGAAACTTAAAACAATTCCACTGATATCAGGGACAAGGCAAAGCTGCCTACTCTCTCTGTATCTCTTCAATACAGTTCTGAAAGTCTTTGCTAGAGCAATAAGACAATTAAAGGAGATCAAGGGGATACAAGTTGGAAAGGAAGAACTCAAAGTATCACTACCTGAAGATGATATGATAGTAGACATGAATAACCCAAAAAAATTCTACCAGGGAACTTGTACAGTTGATAAACACATTCAGCAAAGTGACAGTATACAAAATTAACTCAAAAAAATCAGTAGCCCTCTTGTATACAAAAGACAAAAGGACTGAGAAAGAAATAGGGAAACAACACCCTTCACAATAGACACAAATGACATAAAGTACCTTGGTGTGACTCTAACCAAGAAAGTCAAAGACTTGTATGAAAAAAAACTTTTAGTCTCTGAAGAAAGAAATAGTAGAAGATATCAGAAGATGGGAAGATCTCCCATGTTCATGGATTGGCAGGATTAACATAGTAAAAATGGCCATCTTACCAAAAGAAATCTACAGATTCAAGGCAATTCCCATCAAATTAGAAACATACTTCTTTATAGACCTTGAAAAAATAATTGTCAACTTTATATGGAATAACAAGAAACCCAGAATTGCTAAAACAATCCTCTACAATAAAAGATCTTATGGTGGTATCTCCATCCCTGATCTCAAGCTGCACTATAGAGCAGCAATAGTAAAAACTGAATGGAAATGGCATTGGAACCAACTGGTGGATCAATAGACTTGAATAGAAGACCCTGATATAAAACCACTCATTTCTGCACACTTGATTTTTGACAAAGATGCCAAAACCATACAATGGAAAAAAAGATAGCGTCTTCAACAAATGGTGCTGGTCTAACTGGATGTCTACATGTAGAAAACTGCATGCTCATACTCATCACAATGCACATAACTAAAGTCCAACTGGATCAAAGATCTCATTATAAAACCAGACACACTAAACGTTTTAGAAGAAAAAGTGGGGAAGTTCCTTGAACTCATTGGCACAGGAGACTACTTCCTAAACAGAACACCAACAGCACAGGCTCTAAGATCAACAATCTATAAATGGGACCTCATGAAAATGAAAACCTTCAGTAAAACAAAAGACACTGTCATCAGAACAAAATGACTGCCTACAAATTGGGAAAGGATCTTCACCAATGAATGCTATATCTGACAGAAGACTAATATCCAGAATATATAAAGAACTAAAGAAGTTAAACAGCAACAAATCAAGCAATCCAATTAAAAAATGGGGTACAGAGCTAAATAGAGACTTCTCAAAAGAGGAATATTGAATGGCAGAGAAACACTTAAAGAAATGATCAACGTCCTTAGTCATCAGGGAAATGCAAATCAAAATGATCTTGAGATTCTGAGATTTCACCTTATATCCATCAGAATGGCTAAAATAAAAAACTCAAGTGACAACACATGCTGGAGAGGATGTGGAGAAAGCAGAACGCTCCTCCACTGCTGGTGGGAATGTAAAATTGTACAACCACTTTGGAAAACAATCTGGCACTTTCTCAGACAATTAGCAATTGTGCTTTCTCAAGATACAGGTATACCACTCCTAGGCATATATCCAAAATATGCTCAAGTATACAATAGGGACATTTGCTCAATCATGTTTGTAATAGCTTTATTTGTAATAGCCAGTAGCTAGAAACAACCCAGATGCCCCTCAGTTGAGGAATGGATACAGAATTTGTGGTACATTTACACAATGGAATACTACTCAGCAAGTAAAAACAACGAAATCATGAAACTTGAAGACAAATGTGGGAACTGGAAACAATAATTCTGGTTGAGATATCCTGAATCAGAAAGACAAACATGGTATATACTCAATTATAAATGGATATGAGACATATAATATAGAATAAAGACACTAAAATCTATACTCCTAAAGAAACTAATCACGAAGGAAGACTGAGTAAGATACTTAATCCCCATTTAGAAAGGCTAAGAGGATAGATATCAGAGGAGGGAGAACACAGTCAACAGGACAGGAGCCTACCACAGAGCCAAACTCTGGGCAGAGTGCAGGGAATCTTATGAAAGAATTGGGAATTAATAGGATCTGGAGAGGACAAGAGAGCAAAAGAATCAAACAATGACTTCACAGGAGACTTTTCTGAGACTGATACTTCAACCAAGGACAATTCACTGAGATAACCTAGAACTCCTGCACAGATGTAGCCCATGGCAGTTCAGTTTCCAAGTGGGTTTCATTGTAATGGGAACAGGGACTGTCTCTGTCATTAACTGATTGGCCTGCTCTTTGATCACCTCCCCATCAGGGGGGTGAAGCCTACCAGGCCACAGAGGAAGACAATGCAGTCACTCCTGATGAGACCTTATAGACTAGGATCAGAAGGAATGGCTCCATCCAAGGGAAAATATCCTGTGTTTGGATCCCCAGTATCTACATAAAAGCCAGGCAGAGTGACATGCTTGTGAGCCTCCAGAGCCGTGCATAGCTACAGGTAGACCCTAGGGGCTTGCTTGCTACCTTATTCCAACCAAACCAGAGTAATCTTTGTTCGGTGAGAGACCCTGTCTCATAAAAGTACTGTAGAGAGTTATAGAGAAAGATGATAGACCTCTGGTCTGCACAAGGGCACACACAGGCATGTATACAAGCAATCATGTACACAGACACACGTACACACAGAGAGATACACACACAGACAGACACATACACCATATCAAGACATCTCTTTTCACATTGCAAGTGTTTTAAATACTGAGCTGGAGAACCTCTCTGACGCAAAGTTCACTTTCTATTTGTCTCCAAGCCATTTGGCATCTGCACAGCTCTAGGGCACCTGCTAATTCCTGTTCCTATCTTTCCTCAACCCCTGGACCTAATTTAAATCAACAGAGAGATTTAAATTTAAATGGATCCTGGGATATAAAGGTTTGCAACCATAACAGGTAACCTGGTGAGCACTGGATTTCATAGAGGCTATGAGGAAATGCTGACTTTTTATTTTTTTTCCTTTCCCTCTAACATGAGGTCCAGTCCACCATAAGCAGGCAGTAACTACTTGTTATATGGTGCTATCTGCTCAGCATTTTTGCAAACTTGGAGAGTTCCAGACTTACACAGAGCCATTTTTTTTTCTTTTGTGACCATAGAAATTTGGCCCAGCGGGGATTATGAAAAAAGCTGTCTTCATATCTGAGGATGAGGAGTGGAAGAGAATCAGAGCCTTTCTGTCTCCCACCTTCACCAGTGGAAAACTCAAAGAGGTGACTAAGAGGACTTACGAGTGAAATCTTTGTGTGACCTGACTCTCCACACCTAACTACTGCTGTTTTTGTGCTTTGTGCTCAGATGTTCCCCATTGTTGAACGGTATGGAGATATTTTGGTAAAATACTTGAGAGGAAAGGCAGAGAAAGGCAAGCCTGTCCCTGTGAAAGAGTAAGTGATGGTGCATCCAAGGTGGTTTTGGGAGCGGAAGGATAACTGGGACAGAGGGGCTTTTTTCTTGTGTATATCACATGGCCTAGCTGCATATACTCTACCTTTAGATACTATATATATTTCATGTATGTGTATATTATATGTATTATATATATATATTTATAATATGTATATTAGATAAACATACAGTTTAGAAAGAAGAATCACAATGGTCTGAAAGTCACGAATGTAGATGGTGGGTAGGATGGGAAGGTGCTTGGTCAATACTGAAATGGCTTTGCCTGTATTGCCTCAAACTATGAACTATTTCATGCTTCTTGGTGCTTATCTTAAATTCCCATGTCTCTTCCTCCTCAGAGTGTTTGGGGCCTACAGCATGGATGTGATCACCAGCACGTCATTTGGAGTGAATGTCGATTCCCTCAACAATCCAAAGGATCCTTTTTTGGAGAATGCCAAGAAGTTCTTAAGACTTGATTTTTTTGATCCATTATTCTTGTCAGTAGGTGTGTGGACAGTTCATCCTTTTGAGCTATTGGTCTTGTCTGTGGCTGCATTTGTCACTCTGCCTTTCTCTTCCATACTTTCCCCCAAACTAGCTTCTCCACTGATATATAATTCAGTTGCCACATAATTTGTCCCCTTAAAGGCGCAAATCAAAGTTTTTAGTGTATTCAGAGACATGTAGCCCATTATGTTTGTTTTATAACTTTATTTCACTTTGAGTCAGGGTCTCAATGTGTAGCTCTACCTGGCCTGGAAATTGCTGTGTAGACCAGACTGGCTTTGAACTCACAGTGATCCTCCTGCTTCTACCTCCTGAGGACTAAAGTGCACACCAGAATTCCTGGCTTTGCTTTAGAATCATTTTATTTATTCTTTGACTGTATTATATAGGAATACAACATACCTTGATTAGACCCACCCTAACTCTTCCCTCTCACTTCTCTCAGACACCCCAACACACTTTCTTTCTGATTTCATGTCCCATTCTTTGTTTTGGTGACCCAGTGAGCCCAGCCACTGCCTGCTAGGATACCAAACAATATTACTGGCTTGATTCAGTCCATGAGTGGACCATGCCATGTCCAGGATATGGTACTTCAGATGCCCCATTCCTGGGTCTTTCTTTCCACACCTTCTTTCAGGATGTTTCTTGAACTTTGAGGGATGGGGTGTTGATATAGTTGCTCCATTTAGGGCTTAGTACTCAGCAGTCACTGATTGACAGCACTTTGATCACTTGAAAATCTGCAATGACTGAAGGACCACAAGGCTCCTTATCACTGAGGACTGTATAATGCTTCATTGTAGCCATGGTGTTGAATCTTTTAACCATCATCCTTCACCTAGACCTAAGCAGCCTAGACCTTAGCAACCACCAGTCCACTTTCTGTATATTTACATATGCTTGGCATTTCACATCAATGGGATCATCGACTATGTGGTCTCTGTGGCAGGCATCTTTTATTTAGCACAATAGTAAATGAAGCAAACATCACTATCTCCTGTGTCCATGAGCAAACAATGCTCCATATCTATCAATAGACATGAAGTTAGTTTCACCTGTTTGCCATGAATTTTACTGATATGAGAATATGCATAGAAGGGTATATTCATTTTTTTTATCTTTTGAAGTATATATTCAGAATCATCATTGCTGAGTTAAAAGGCAACCCTATATTTAATTTTTAATGTGGAAATATTTTATTTTTAAAAATTTATTTATTTATTCACTTAACATTTTGATAACAGCCCCATCTCTCCTTGCTGTCTCTGTCTTCTTGCATAAGCCTCCTCCTAATTCCCCATCTCCTTCTTCTTAGAGAGCAGCCATGTGGAGGCTGAGAATGAAACCTAGGTTGTCTGCAAAAGCAGCCAATGGTAACTGCTGAGCCATATCTCCAGTCTGTGTAGAGTGACTATATATATATATATATATATATATATCCATTTAACAGTGGTGCTCCATTGCTCCATTTAGGGCTTTAATGCTTTTCCTTGTTAATTACATTTCCATACACAGCTCATGTGTCCTTTTCCCTACATTCCATTCCTTCCTCACCACTTAATATTATCTTCTTGGTCTCCATTTAAGTGTTATGTGATAGCCATACATATACCTGTTTACATATTTACATTTATCCATTATAGGCTACAACTGTGAAATTAGAAACATTATGTGATTTGTCTTTTTTCTGAGTTGGGGTCACCTGCCTTTGAGCTTGTCTTTTTTTTTTTTTTTTTGAGACATGGTTTCTCTCTGTAATGTCAGCTGTCTTTATTTGTGTGTACATCTATGTATGTGCACCTTGGTTTTTGTGGTTGTATCCTTCCACAGCATGCGATCCAGGGATCAAGCTGAGGTTGTCACACTTGTCTGCAGGACCATTTATCTCTTGAACCATCTCAAAACCCCCCATCTTTTCTCTCTGGATCCATAAGAATTACAGGAACAGAGTTCAATACAAAGTCAGATTTGCAGCCTGGCTGTTCCACTGCTGTGGAGCAGTGAAGAGGTAACCCGAAGTGAGCATGCTCATGGCGTGAGCAAGGTTACAATGTGAGCAAGATCAAGGGGAGAACAGTTTCTGGCTGAGAAAATGGCTTATTTGGATTGTGTTTTGATTTCTCTAGATGAATCTTGCATCTCCATTAAACCTTATTTTTTTCTTTCCAGTACTTTTTCCATTCCTCACCCCAATATATGAGAAGTTAAATATCTCCATTTTCCCAAAGGATTCCTTAGCATTTTTCAAAAAATTTGTGGAAAAAATGAAGGAAAACCGCCTGAATTCTAATGAGAAGGTAAAAAGTGGTGATCTCATGAGAGGTCCATACGTTGAAAATATGTTGGGCTGTGAACATGTGAGCTGTGTACTTCCCTTCATCTGTTACTAAAGGTAGATAGAGAAGGCTCGATTTAGAGTGAGACAGAGTATTTACATTTTTCTGGGGAAGGAGAATTTTGGATTTTTAAATTTTTTTATTGAGAATAAGCCAGGATTTAACCCTTAGCAATTAGAATGAAAGCTACAGTGCCAGGCATAAGAATTGAAAACTCAAAAATTAGACACAGCACAAGACCTACAGAAGATCAAGATCACAAACCTATAACATATATCAGAGGGGAACTCTCCAAGCTCTTCCCCTTACTGTGGAACAATTGGCAGTTAATAGCTGTGGATGGAGGCTGTGGACACTGGAAGGATTCTGATGTAGCATTGGATGTCCCCAGAGACATGCTTATATTGGCAACACTAGTTGGACTCAGTGAGTTATTAAAATGAGGGCATAACGTTTAGAGAAAGAAATGTTGCAGAGGATATAGAAAGAACTGGATAGAAGAAAGAATGGGGTAGATATGACTATATCCCATTGTGTACAGATGTGAAGTTTTCTGGTAACAAATAAAAATGATTCAAGAGGGAGAATTACTATTTTCCTGTCCTTCAAAAGCATTTGCAAAGAATAAAAGTGACTGTTTAAAATTGCACCTAATTGTTATTTATTGTAAAAACAGTTGATATGGTGGCTGGATTGCTTCCTGATTTAGTAACTTGTGCTTTCAGTCTTTGGTGACTCAAGTGACACTAGTCATGCTTGTGAGTGTAAGGGAGCCATGTACTCAGAAAAGAACAAATTAAGCTTCTGCACTCCTGATCCATCTTTAACTTCATCACTGACCTTCTACGTTTGTGATTTCTCTTTCTGCCTCCAGCATCGAGTGGATTTTCTCCATCTGATGATGAAAGCTCACAAGAATACCAAAGACAAAGAGTCTCACAAAGGTAAACAAGGACTCACTGGTCTATGCATAGGGAAGCTCTCATAGAGTGGGCAGGCCACTCAGAAAATATGCAAGGAAGATTTTCTAGGTGGAGGAATATTTCTGTCAAGTTGGTGCAAGCAGACATGGCTATCATCTTCATGATATTTTCTGAAAGCGCACTGGCATAACTGTTCCAAACGTGAAGGATAATCACAATGGAAGACTTCAGATGCCTGTGTGTTATCCATGAGACTATAGGTGTTGTTTCTTTCTTTTCCCACACACTGACTTAAAATTCTGCCTAGACATCTGAGTCTAAACATCCAGACAGGAGGCATGTACCCAAACAGTGCTGGTGCATTCTGGGAACCCCTAGTATGTATGTGTTCTATACCTTAATCTATGGTAGAGATTGCCTTTTCCTTTGCCTGATGAATAAGTAGCTTCCAAGGAAAGCCTCTTTATAAAAACACACTGCTTCTCTCCAATTCTTTGACACACTTAAAAACTGCCTATATATATATTTATCTTCTTTGTGTGGTGTATGTATGTGTGTTCACAAGTAGGTGCACATGTGCAAAAGCCTAGTTGTGTGTGCAGAAAACAGAGAAGGCACCAAGCATCTCTCCTAATCTTGCTTTGCTTTATTTCCTCTTACTAAACCTAGAGCTAAGCTGGCAGCCAGCAGCTCCCAATGGTACAGAGCATTGGGGTGACAGTGGTGTGCTGCCACACCTAGCTTTTCACATGGGGACAGAATATGCAAACTCATGTCCTCAAGCTGTGGAACAAGTGCTCTTAGCCACTGGGCCATCTCTTGAGTTTTCCATCTATGTTTCTTTTCAATTTTAAAACCATCATTACTTTCATGGTGGGAAAATGACGGCCTTTCAATTACAGGCTTTCTTCTCCATGAGCCTCAGCAGCTAATGTAAGTGGAGTCTTGCATTGTTACCTCATTGCTTATTTCTAGTGTGTACACTTGCCTACACACACACACACACACCACACTTGTTATATATATAACATATATAATTACACTTTTCAAAGTCACTGTTTCTTTTTTGTATAAATTCTTTCCAGTTTGTCCACTTGAAACCCTTTCATGTGATCAGCTAATGTTAACTTCTTTTGTACTTCATCTTCTTTTGGAAACAGAGTTTTACATGGCCCTGTTTAAAGGTGAGGTTGACATCACATTCAAAATATGCCTGAGAATGCATGACCTTTAAGCATGTTCTGGGGAATGAATCCATGGCAGTCCATCTACTGAGCTACATATACTCAACCCTTCTGGTTCATTTTGATTGTTAAAAAAGATATTCATTTAAAAAATAGCGACTGATTGTGGGCTTATAGTCCCATTTCAATATAGAAGCAAGGGCTTATACTATTTGGGAAAAGGAATTTACCAACAACAGAATCAGAGAATTCATGTCAGAAGGTTTACAACTGCCTGTAAATCTAACTCTGTGGTCTCCAATACCATCTCCTGGCCTACATGGATACTTGTACATGTGTGTGTGTGCACACACATAAATAAAAATAAAAGTAAAAAAAAATATCTTAAGCTCAAGAAGAAGACTGGAGTTCAGCTTTCTGTTCCTACCTCTGACAGTGTACAACCTTCTATAACTCCTTCTCTAAGGGACCAGATGGCCTTTTCTGGCTTTCATGGGCATACCGCTGACACCTACGTGGCATCCATCTCTCTACATAAATACACACAAAAATACACACAAATGAAATAAAATTAAATCTTAAAAATAAATCCCTTTTTTAAATTAAATTTTTAGTTTTTTTATATTAATTATAGTTTATTCACTATGTATCCCAGTTGTAGCTCCTCCCTCATTCCCTCCCAATTCTACCTTTCCTCCTTAATCTCCTCCCATGCTCCTCTCCAATTCTACTGATAGGGGAGGTCCTCATCTCCTTCCATCTGACACTAGCCTATCAGGTCTCATCAGGACTGGCTGCATTGTCCTCCTCTGTGGCCTGGCAAGGAGGCTCCCACCTCAGGAGGGAGTGTTCAAAGAGCCTATCACTGAGTTCATGTTAGAGAATGTCCCTGTTCCCCTTACTAGAGTACCCACTTGGATACTGAGCTGCCATAGGCTACATCGGACCAGGGGTTCTAGGTTAGATCCACAAATGATCCTTTATTGGATTATAAGTCTCAGAAAAGATCCCTGTGCCCAGATATTTTGGTTCTATTGTTCTCTTGGTTGAACTCCTGTCCTCTCCAGGTCTTACTATCTCCCCCTTCTTTCATACAATTCCCTGCTCTCTGCCCAAAGTTTGGTTATGAGTCTCAGAAATCCCATGTCTCGAAGTTGCCCAATGGTGACGATGAGGAACATAGCACACACCTTGGGACAACCTGGCTGAAGTGATCTCCCCCATCTCTGGATGTGTCACTCAGATGTCATAATGATAACAGGCTCAGGGTGAGCAAATAGCTTCTCCGTATTTATCTCTAAGAAAGCCGAAGCCTCATTTGGTTTTCCTCATCCCATCTGTGATAGTCCATATTGACATGACTTACATGAGATATATATTTTTTTTTTTACTTCCAGCCCTGTCTGACATGGAGATCATGGCACAGTCAATTATCTTTATTTTTGCCGGCTATGACACCACCAGCACCACACTTGCCTTTGTCTTGCATTTACTGACCACTCACCCTGATATACAGAAGAAACTGCAGGAGGAGATCGACAGGGCTCTGCCCAATAAGGTGACTGGTTGGTGCTTGGAGTAGGGGGGGGAAAGAGGAAGGCTCATCAAAAACAGCTTCTCATCACATGCAATATTGTGTGTGTGTGTGTGTGTGTGTGTGTGTGTGTGT